CAGTCTCTACTCCACAGGAAGATTGATGCAGCAACTTCACTTGGTCTTTCCAAGAAATTCCAACTGCAGTAACACAATGTGGTGTATTCAGAGTGGTTACACATAGTTTAAAATATTGAAAGATAGAATGAAAATATGATTATTTTGGAAAACTCATTTTTTAAGAACCATTTTTAATAAGCATAGTAAAAGTGATAAGCATCTTATTTATTATTTAGGTACTGGGACTTTGAAACCAGGGTCTTTACACTGAGCTATATACTCCAGCCCTTTTTTTTTTTTAGTCAGAGTCTTACTATGTAGTCCAGGCTGGCCTTGAATTTATGTCAATCCTTTTGACTCAGTTTCCCAAATGCTGGGATTTTAGGTGTGAGCCACCATGCCTGGCTTATTTATTTTTATTTTTATTTTTATTTTTAGTCAGGGCCTTGTTAAGTCCCCGGGTGGCCCAGGCTGGGCTCAAATCCACTACCAATCCTCTTGCCTCAGCCTCCCAGAGTGCTGGTATTATAGCTTGGCTATGATGCCTGGCTATAATAAACATCTTAAGAAGAACATTAAGAAGTGAGATGGTTGAAGCTAATATAATTATGAAGTGTATGGAAAAATGAACCTAGACTTGTTTCTAATTTCAGCTACATAGGACCTCTTAAAGATGACCCCAGAGTAATCCAAAGTAAATTTTAGTATATAGTATCATCAACCAACCCCATTATAATATGTAAGTTTGGCAAAAATCCAATTTCATTATAGCATGGCAGGTATCACAGGGTATGAAGGTAATACAGTTTGTGCACCCTCCATAAGAAAAAAGAATACAACGCTGTAGATACACATCCAGTAACAGAAACTTGGAAGCCTCAAGCAAGTGAGACGGTCTCAGGAGTGACCTTGAGTAGCTTCAGACTGCTTTTGGTTAATATGTTTAATTTCATTGATATTGAATACAAACTCATTGTAAGTAAAGAGCAACTCAAATATCAGTGTGGTGGGAAAATGAGAGGATTGGAAATGAAGACCTGGGTTCTAGCATTGGGTGAGTCATTGGTTTCATTGTTCATTTACTGAGTAGAGTATTCTAAAAGGCATTATGGATGTGTCTCTGAAAATAAAGGCCCTATGTTTAAGGAACATGGGATTCAGGTCCAGTCTGAATTTGGGAAGTGGTTTGCACTATACCCCTTTCAGAGGATGTAGTAGACTTCTGCATATTAATGGCTCTGAGAGGTTTCACTGGTAAGAAACAAATACATCGCAAACACATATCAACTTCACCTGAAAGACATTTGGGAAAGTGCTCTTATGAGGAATTATCTCACTCAGCCTCCTTGACTATTGTAGAGTCTATTCTTAGGTTTTACTCTTTGGCTAAATGGAAACTTTTATTCTTATAAATATAATATCAACATTCTCCATTTATTGTAGACAGACTTCCATACTCAGTGGCAGCTTTCATTAAATGGCACCACCCATTGAGCCAAAATGGGCAGTGAGTGTGAATAAATATATTCCAATGCTTAACTGAGATGGAAGGACTGGCACTTTATGCCCAGCTTTGTTCTCCAAAACTCCTGGGAAAACTTTCCTTTCAGCTCCTTCCACCTTCTTAAATGAGCTCTCTGCTTTGGTGGTGTTGCCTTTTGTGCTTGTTTGTAGAAGTTATTATCCTGAGTGTGAATACCACCCAAGGAGGCCTTGCAGTGGTTAGAGGCCTAAGAAAGAGTAAGATTCTATCCTTTCTTCAAAGTATTTCTTAATGTAGAGTGCTGAAAGGAGTCCTTTTCCTCAGTGAGGCACGGGATTTAAACCCAATGGCAAAGTTACCCCACCTTTTTTAGAATAATTGCCACTTACCCAAACATTTCTGAGTTCCTTATAAATTGGCTCCCTCAGTCTCTTAACCATTTTAGTAGCTCTTCTCTGAACTTGGTCCAAGTTTTCCATAATTCTGTTTAACAAAGTGCTCTGCAGGGAATGCAGTGTCCAGGTGCAGTAACCTTGCTAGGTCATTTGGTGCTGTGGGAGGGGCCAAAAGAAAGATGACAACCGTCCAGTATCCCTTAGGCTCTCATAAACATGTGGCAGCATTCCAACCAACAGAGTTGAGCTCATAGTAAACGAGTAGGTGAGTGGACTGGAAGTGGCCCCTTTCTTAATTTAAGTGAAAGAAAAGCCAGTGGCCACTGGATTACAAACAAGTAGTAAAAATATGTGTGCATTTGAAGAAATCTTTCACTTTAAATAATATTATAATTGTACTTAACATTAAGAAATCATTGTAAAGCAGAGGATGAGAAGGTCTTTATAGGGATATTTCTGGGGAACTCAATGACCTAATCTGAATGTTACTATTCCATTCTTTATACTTTATTTGTATAAATAAGATTATTACAGGATAGTTTATTAGTTTCATTTCCCATTTTTAATGGGCCAGAAAGGAAATCTGATGAAACATAGAAGTCACTTGAAATTGAGTGAGATTCTCAGGATCCAAGAAAGTGAGTAAATGTAGAAGTCAAAATTATATTCCAAGTATATACAGTTTCAAGCCCTGGACTTTTCACTTGGTTAAACAAACAAGCAAACAAAACAAAATATTCTTGCCCATAGCCTGTTTCCAATATTGATTGGGGAAATTAGATGCAAACACTGATTGGCAAGTCTTTTGATATTTTTAATTATTTGTGGTTTTCTTTTTTATTTTTGTAGTCAATAGTTTATCTTTTTTTATAACTCCATTTTATGCAAAAAATAAAATTTTGCAGACAATAGCATCTAATACTAAGGAAAAAATAAGTTATTCAGTTTGTTAGGGCTCTAGGAGACTCTAACAAGGTTCAGAAAGAGCAATATTAAGATTTAAATACAAAACTCAAATATCTGAAAATATAAAATACTGTACTCTTATTTCTTGATACTTGGGGCATTAAAATAATTACATAACAAATCTGATGGCAAGACTAGTTACATATAATGGACTACCTTAAAGAATACATAAGTTAGTTATGCATGAAGCCACCTAACTTTATGGCCAGTAATATCTGACCCATATTTAAAATCTACAAATAAGTCAGGCATGGCGGTGTTCACCTGTAATCCCAATACTCTGGGAGCCCAAGGCAGGGCAATTGCAAGTTCAAGCCTAGATCGGGCATTTAGTGACTTAGTGAGATCCTGTTTTAAAAGTAAAAAAGTTCAAAAGGTTTGAGGTTGTAGCTCAGTCCAAAGGCCCTGGGTTCAATCCCCAATAATGAAAATAAATGAATAAATAAATAAATAAATCCACAAGTATTGCTATGAAATAAAACTAGCCAAGAACTATATCAGAAAAAATAACAGCAACAAATATACATGTTATTGTAGCATTTGAAGGGTACTTTTTTGATCATGAGAGTTTAAGAATTGAAATGCTATTATTTTTCATAACCTGGAATGTTTCTTGCTACTGAGATTCCATTAAATATCACTGATATGTGATCAAAGGCCATTGATATTGGAATTAGGCCTTTGTTTCCAGTTCTTTTCTGTATGGTGTATTTTTCCTTGACCATTCCAACTAAATCTCTATTTCCTAACTAAATCTCTATTCAAGTGAGTATTTGGGGAAAGTAGAATACTACTATTGAATCCAGAATTAGTCCTCCTTTCTCTAGTTAAGCATCTCTTTGTATGGGCCCTGTCTAACTCTGGTGGCTGAATTCTGGAACTCAGCATCTCCTTTGAACACAGCTGGACTCTCAGGTAGTTTGGTCTTTGGGGACCAATATACCTAAAATAACTTTGAATAGTTAAATTTGACCACGTGTGAAATGGCAGTTGCCTTTTAATTTTAATGGAATATTTTAGAGCATTTTTATGGAAAAGCTCTTAAAGTTCTTTCTTTCACTACCTTAATGAAAGGGAAAAATGTGTTGCTCTAGCTGTTATTTTTTTATAATAAATTTAAAGCAGTTCCTGCAAATCTTAACAAGTAAAATCAAATTTTTAATGCATTTGGCAAAATGCCTTTATAAAAATTGTAGAACAAAATAAAATATTCTGGATGTGAGCATTTTTTCAATAAAAAAGAACTGAATTTATGAGAGTACTTACATCATGTATCAATATTTCCAAGTTAATTTGCTGTGTAGCATTATCAACCTACATCATTACCACAATAGTTACTGTTGAAGCTGAAGGCTTGTGCTTAGATTTTTAGATGGAACAGAAAGTGAGATTCACAAATATGAGTATTGCAGATAGAAACCTATATTTCTTTGACATATGTAAATTAAGATATCCACTGATAACATGCTCTAGATGTAAACTATAGTAATAAAGGTTATACGGGTACTTTACTTTGGAACTTCACAAAGGCTGAGTCTTTTGAACAAGATGCAGTGATATGTTGGTAATGTCTAACAAAAGGTCCCTAAAATAACAACAAAGACAATATACCTGATTTGCTGATTTTCATAGCATAAATATAAAATACAGAGTGAAGAAGAGAGGCATACAGTTGTTCCCTCTAACCAGCTCCATACCAACCTAACCCAGCAGACTACTGAAGAGGAATTCTTTAATATTTGCTAAACGTGTAATACAAAAGCTATCAATTGTAAAGGCCAAGTTTAATGGTGAAAATACTAGTTACCTGAGTAAGATGGGGTAGTACCAATACTACGGGCATGGAGCACCTAAGAAACTTTTGACAGGATTTAGTGCCCCTATCACATGGAGCATTTTGAGCAAATGCCCAGTCATAAAGAAAAGTAACTTTTGGATAAGTGGCTTGATAAAATGAATAGAAGTGGAAAAAAATTAAGGCAGAGATTTTATATTGCTGGTTACTTGTGAGGAATCTTTAGCACTTTTGTGCTCAGAATGAGCTGTCAGCTGAATGCTTCAAAATGATCATCTTCTGAATGATAGTATGATAATATGTTTCTGGGAAGAGATTTTATTTCAGCAGTTTATGTTGTAAGGGTTTCTCATGTCTCATTGAATAAACACAACAACCTTTTTATTCCTTCCATTTTGCAGATGGAGAAACTGAAGAACAGAGTTTTAAGTAACTTGTCCAAGTCACCACAGCTAGTAATTGGCATTCACCTTGGCAGTCTGACCCAAGAAGTTGTGTCTTGAAGCAATACTCTCTATGCCTCAGGTATTTTATAAAGGCTAGTTATTAGTGTAGTTAGTCAAAAATTTTGAATATTTTGTAATTCCCTATGGTAATTGAATGTGTGCGTAGGAGACATAATGAAACTGTTATTTTATTCAGATGGATACATGGTTTATAAATGGTATGCATTTTAAGGTTAGAATGATTCTGTATCAGATAATTTTTAGATGACATTCATAAAATGGTGATTTAATAATAAGGTGCTTAAACTACACACTTACCTTTAATTACTAGAAATGATCTGATAAGAAACTATAAATTTGAACTCTTGTTCACCTTATGGTGCCTTGTGCACAGAGATTTACATAGTTACACATATATCACATAGATTATATATATGGGTATGGAAATAAGGAAATATAACTTAAGATAAAGTAAGAGTATGAAAATTAAAATGGAGCAATGAGAGGATAGAACACAAAAATCTGTGTTTTGAGATCTTGTACTCTCTAGAGTTCAATCTCAGTTTTTGTTCTAAATCTCTTCAGAGCCATAGCACAAGGTATAAATGTCTTTATTGCCTTCTTTATTTTGAGAAAATGATTTTAAAGTACAGGAAATAAAATATATATCTACATTTCCACCATACAGATTAACAATGTTTATGTATTTCCCCAATCCCAGCCCTTGGCAACCAATAATTTGATTATTGTTCCTATGGTTTTATATTCCTAGTAAGATATAAGAATTATAGTTGCTCCACATCATTGTCAACCCTTCATATTATTATTTTTAAAAAGTGTAGACATATTGTGGCTGTGTAGTAGTAGCTTATTGTGATTTTAATTTGCATTTTTCTCATGAAATCTGATGTTATCTTTCATATGCCTGTGTGTCATCTGTCTGACTTCTTTGATAAAATTCTATTCAAATATTTTTGCCCATTTTAAAAATTGAATTGTATATTTTCATATTATTGAATTTTAAGGATTCTTTTTTACTTCACACAAAAAATATAGACCACTGCTTTTTTTTCCCATTAAGTTTATTGTACATTTTAGGCATAAAATACAGTTACATTCATCATTGGGATCTTGTACCACTACATGAGTATCTTGGTTCTTATTTTTTTCCCTTTCCCCTGCCCTCCCTTCACCCCCTCCACCCTTCCCTATTTGCAAAGACTTTGTTTCCATTTTTTGCCTTTTCTCATATTTTTTCTTTTCCCTTTTTTCCTTTCCCCTACCCCTCCCACTTCCCCTGCTCCTTTAGACCTTTTCTTCCTGTTACCCAAT